TGGGTGTGTTTTTTTAAGGCATACATGGTAGCCGGGCCAGGCTTTTTTCCTCGTTTTTCCCCGCCCCATCATTAGTTTTTTTTTACCAGTAGACGCTCAACTTTACAGGGGTGGTCACCCCCTTAACCCCCCCCCCCCCCCCGTCCTGATCAATATCAGTCGGATGACGCCAAGCTCGCCTTGCTCGCGGAGCTGCCGACGTGCATCCCGTCCGAAGCCCTGGCGTCTCTGGTGTCCGGGTCCGGGAAGGGAGCTTTCTCGGATTTGGTCTCCCGCATGAAGGACGCCTTCCTCATGTCCAACTCCCCACTGGTCATGGACGCCGCTGCCTCGAGTCTGGGTTGGTTTCTGAACGCTGATCACGCCAAGAGAGCCGAGGTATGATAGTGACGTGTTTTATCGACGGGGTTTTGTTTGTTTTTCTGGCGTTTGTTTTTTGTTCGTTTTAGCTGCTGGTCTCTTGGCGCTGACCACGCCAAGAGAGCCGAGGTATAACTGTAAACGCTTTGTAGCGTTTAGCTTTGTTTGTTTCTCATCTGGTCGTTTGTTTGTGTTGGTCATAGCGTTGTGTTGGTCGTCGTGGAGTTGTTGTTGTTTTTTGTTGTGGTCTTCTTAACATGGCGCGGCAGGTTCAGTCACTTTTGGCCCTCTCTTGTACCCCATTGAGTCACTAAGCCATCTCTTTACCCTCCTTCTGTCAACTCAGCGATCTTGATACGCCCGAAAAACCACTCTCAGCCTTCTTTTATACCCTACATATATTCATTCACTCATCAGCCTTCCTCTATCCGCCGTTCAGCCACTCAGTATTCTCTCTATCCCATGCCGTCACTCACCTTTTAAAACCCCGTTCACGGTATCGCCAATACCCCGTTCAGTCACTCTGTCAACCCCGCGCTGTTATCTCCTTCGCGCGTTTTCTCGTTTCGACTCAACAAAAAAAAACGCCCAACGATACTCTCCTGCAACACCGTCGACGCCCCCCCGCAAGCACAGGTTAAGGCTGTGGTGCAGGGGATGGTAGAAGAGCTCTTCGCAAAGGTCAGCGCCCTCTGCCAACAAGACCAGAAGGCCACCCCGGCCAAAGGAAAAGCGAAGGGGGCCGGGGGCAAAGGAAGGTGAAAACGACTATTTAGAGTCGGGGCCCCTCTAATGGTGCGGGTATGTGCCAAGTGTTTTCACACGCACCATGGCGGGTACCCGCACTATCCAATGTACCGTAAACCATCCGGATCGTTCCATTTGTACCAGCCAATTTCTCCCGCTCTATGCCGGGCACCAGCCCCATGTAACCCGCACTATAGAGGGACCCCTACTACTGTAAGCGGTACACGCTGTTGTTCTTCTTACTATACAAAAGATAAAAATGCACCTCTCTCCACCGATACTAGAGTCAAACAAAATCTCAGAAAGACGAAAAATACTGAAATTTGTTCATGGCTTTATTTGACCGACAGGCTTGGGCTTTTTTCTTTTTTTTTCATATTCATCTCTTCACACAGATAGTAGAGTCAGACAAAATCTTTTAAATGGGAAAATTCGAAACTAATTTCATGGAGTTATCTCAAAAAAACGGTTTGTGGTTAGTTCTTTTTTTCAAATCCGTCTTTTCCCATAGATAAAACAGTCAAGGAATAGTTAGAATTGGCGTGCTCTTGGCCCAACCGGGGGGTTTTTTTTTTTTCCCCCCCCCCCCCCCCTTTCAGGTGGAAGGACACCGGCATCGGGCTGGCGAACTCTTTCCGACGGCTCCGCTGCCTGGCGGGCTGCACGGACGCGAGCGGCTGCGTCGACGGCACCACCCTGTCCGAAGCGTGGGAGGGGGTTCAAGGGGCCGTCCGGCGCCGCTGCCTTCTCGACGAGGTATTGTAGGCGTATGGAGGCGTTACCGCTGGCTTGCACAGACAGCACCGCGAGCACGAGGTCGGGCCAGCCGAGTCTCGGATTGTGCGATAGGTGACATGAGGAGGCGTTATGCGTTATCGCTAGGTTGCACAGCGGAGTCTCGGATTCCGTGTCCTGTGGCATCCTCCTCACCATGATCGGTGGCATATTCTGGCTTTAT